AGACTACCTGTAATGACTTTAAAATGATATAGTATTTACAGAAGTAAAACCCTGAACTGTGTTTGTATTACTTGAATAGATTAGACATATCTCAATAAACTAGTTTTATGTGTACATGTACAATATTTGTTTGCTTCTCAGGTTTTATAAAAAGTTAGACTTGGACAAAGAAAAAAGAAAGCCTGTGGGAGATGATGAAAGTATAGAAGATGTGGATGATGAAGAATTTGAAAAAGCATTAGGTAAGGCTATGTACACTATTTTGTTCCTCTTCTTAGATAAACAATGATAAATGATATACAGAACATTTGATTTCCTTTGAATGTGGCAGTTACTATTTGACACCAGTCTTGAAATCCTGAAAATGCTTTTATTTCCTTCCCTCCTATACTAAAAATAATTTAGTCACTTTAAGTTACTTTCTAACCCTTTCCTTTGGGGGTTTAATTCATGTTTTGCTAGGTGCTATTTTCCTTCTGTGATTCTCCACAATAATTTATAGTAAACCAAACTTTAAAAGTTTGAATATTTTAACTTTGACATTTCAATATTGTAGACATTACAATATTGTAGACCTAATTTCTTTCTTTCAGATTCATTTGAACAAGACAGTTATTTTGGGAATATTGAGAGTGATCTTAATTTTGCTGGGTAAGATTTTTAAAATTCTGTATATCAATTCTTTTTTTATATATAATTTTTTTTTATTTTAAGACAAACATACACAGACAATACATAAAAAAAAACATAAAACCATCTTCCATTTTGTACATACAGTGTGTCAGTTGGTTTAGAATCTTTTGTGTGATCCTTTCATAATCATTTATAATTTATATCAATCTCATATTGTCAAACAAACATATGCTTATCTATTTATCAATTATTAATTATCCTACTATTTATTCCATCAATATTATATTATGCTGTCATCCAATGGTTATATATGACTACATTATATTTTGTATCAGTCTATTAAACTTCTATAACAAAATTATCTATTCTGTTACCTTACCATGTCTTTTTATCCAACCATTGATAAAACAAATCCCGTATCACACCTGTATATCAATTCTAAAGATTCTAGATAACAGTAACTGGTTTAAACTAGCATGAAGAACTGATTATACAGTATATAGTGCATTGATGGCTCAGGACTTTTCTGGAAAAAGACCCCTTAATAGTATGTAACTGAATGGGATTTAGAATAGCTCTTAATATTTGAAATATTATTACCAATCATCCAAATTACTGTGAAATTAATATAATTTTATGCAAAACATAATCCTAGAGCACACTTTTTATTTTTTAGTTAGTTTCTGGGGTTTTGGTTTGAGCAAAAATGAGAATTATCAGAGCAAAATCTCTGAAAATTATTTTTATTTTAGAAAGATCTGAACATACCCAAGTGATATACCTGATATAATATCAAAAACTTTTTTTAACCTTTTGCAGTGTTTGAATTGTTTTGTTTAGAAAGGATAAAATGTTTTTAAACTAATATCTGACTTCTGAAGTCAGCTTGTCCTTGTAGTTGAAGAGAAAGCCTCAGTGTAAATCTCTCAGATCTACATTTTAAAATGTATTTCTGTTCCATGTATGAAAATAATTTTGATAATGTGAGTATGGAAATAAACTAATCCTTTTTTGAGTACTTTCCCCCATAATTTGATGTAGATCAGAATTCTTTTTTCATCTAGAAATACTGAGAGTGATAAAGTGCTTGGGCTTGAAATAAGGAGCATTCATTGGCATTCATTACAAAGTAAAACTCGGTGTCAACTGTTTTTTGTATATGCTTTCTATTTCAAGCCCTATTAATTGAAAATAATCAAATAGAAACCTAGTAGAATAAGCAATGGATCATTTTTATTTGTATTCTCTCCCTTCCCCTTCCAACATATTTGGAGTTTAGTGCTTCATTTACTGAATAGTTCGGAGCACTTCTTTTTTCTTATTGGCCAAGAAGACAGAAACTGGGAGAGCCATTGATGCTTCAGTGTGTGTTTTTGTTCCCATTGGTTCAAGTTTCATATGCTATGAAATGTTAGTGTTACAGGAGAACAGGGATTTGAGATGGGAAGCTGATCAGCATTCTTGGATTATATAAAGATTTAGAATATCAGATTTAACTGTTATGTAATTTTGTGAAAGCATCAATCCACATTTATGATACATCTTATATGTCTAAATTTGTGTACATTTATAGCTAGTTCCCAGTGAAAAATTCCTTTTATCAAGTACTCCAGCTTTGGATCAGAGTTCTAGCAACTAGCTGGGTGGCTTTGGGCCAGTCATTCTCTCAACTCAACTCACCTCACAGGGGTGTTGTGGGGAAAATAGGAGGAGGAAGAATTAGGTATATTCACTGCCTTGAGCTATTTAAGAAAACAGTAAAGGCAGGCTATAAATAAATAATTATGGGATATTGAGATATCACTCTTGGTTTTAGATATTGCTATTTGAGATGCAGATTTTTATCCCTTTTTCCTTTTGCATAAAGGTTGGGTAATTTATCCAATTTAAAGTAATGTAGCATTGATGGTTGTGGTTCTTCAGAATTTCTTACAGTGTAAGGAAGCATTATCAGTAAATTCCTTGAGTCATCAGCTTAAGTGCAGGTGATAAATTATAATTTAATTAGCTTTCATAAAGTTAAAATACGTGTAACAACAATTATATACTGTTCTAATCAAAACACTGGGAGATATACAGAGAACATAATCTGGGCTACCTCAAAATAAAGCACCACAGTCATAAATAAGATACACTCTTTCTCCAAGTATCTAATCCACCAAGGCCTGTTTAAAAAGGAAGATAAGAACTGTGAGAAAAAGTATATAGAAAGATGTGTATTTAAAGTTTATTTCCATCATTTTTAGTAATATAAAAGTCAAAAATAAAAAGAAGAGAAATTCAAATGATGAAACAGAATCAGAAGACTCCGAGGAAGACAATTTTGAGGACCTTGATGATGAGGAAGTCTCACTGAGTAGTATGGATGAAGACTTTGGGGAAGATATTGATGAAGAGGGAGGGACTTTCATGGATGTTTCAGACGATGATAACACTCCAGGTAAACAGAGGTTCCCATAGTCCTAAAACTTTTTTATTCTTGCTAAAACAGTTAAACCATACAGATAAATTGTTCCAATTTTAAAAGTTATGTTGTAAAAATCCTTGAGGATTTTTCTTTTCCTTGAGGGGATCTATGCAATCTTGAGTTGTTCCAATATTTGTAATATGCAAGTGTTTCCAAGTGAAGGACATCAAAATTTCATGCTATAATTTTCAATTTTATTATATAACAGGTTTTACTAGTTCTTTTTGTTAACAGATGAAAATGATGACACTGCAGTCACACCTGGCAGTAAGAATGGCAAAAGAAAAAAAGAAATAGATTTTGCTGGATCATTTAAAGGTAATATAAATAAATGTAATACTTTTAAGACTTGACAAATAAGAAGCATGAGAAATTCATGTTTCTGTCAAAATACCAAGGGATTAGCACAAGTTACCAGAATTATTTTCTTTCCAGTGCACAATCACAAGCAGTTTAAAGTGCATGAGGGATTTATATTGGTGACATTTGGAAGGTAATAAGGGATAATTTCATTGAATTCCACATTCATTTTTGTCAAAAATGAATTTTGTTTCTGATTCCATTATAAAACAGTTTATCAATCAATCCAGTTTTTATATCAGAGGAGTGGCTAATGTAACATCAACTTTCTAAAAAGTAAGAATTTCAGTGAGGGTGGAACATGGAAATTCATAGTATATTGTTAAATTTATTCCTTCCAAACCAGTGGAAAGTGGTAGGTTCTGTAAATGAGAATGTTGTTGAGTTCAGAGACTGGAACTGTTCATTGTACAATATTTCTATCCAATTCAGGTCTGTGGATTTTCCTAGTTCTCTCCAGCCACAATTGATTCTTTGGCCACTACTTTGTTATACTTACAACAATGAATGCTTGCTTTATGTAAAACTGTGAAGAAGCAGTTGCTGAATGCTCTTTTTCTTTAAGGGTCAAAGAACAGAAAAAGAAAACTCAAAGATACTGGTGTTGCTGCTGCTGCAGAAGAAGTAGGTGTATTAATTTTAGCATCTGTTAAATGGTGTTTGATTTGAAGGCATTCGGATATCTAATTGTGTTGCATTTCTTTTAAAGTTTGGTCACTTGCTGGATGAAAATATTGGGTCCAAGTTTGACAATATTGGAATGAATGCAATGGCCAACAAAGATAATGCAAGTAAGTAACTTGTATATGAAGATCTTATCCCACCTCAACAGGGTGTACCTATTGTAAATATTCTTACTGATCAGAACCATTATTTTTGGGTTGGGTTGATATTATTGTTGACTCCTGACAACTGCTAGGACTAATCCCTATAGTGTTTATTAGGACTAAGGAAAGTGGATGGAAGTACTTAATGTAGTTGTTAACTGCTTGGTAGTGTCTCTTGTCATTTATATTCTTTTTATTTCATTGCTTGTCGCGGGGGGGAGGGGGAAAGGTGGGAGTTTATTTTTATTCTTTATATATATTTTTGTAAGCTACCTAGAGTCATTGAAAGTGAGTGGGCAGCCATATAAATTTTCTAAATAAATAAACAGGTAACTTTTGTGAAAAGGCTTTTAAGCATTCTGCCGTTGAGAGGCTTCCATTTACCATGTTAAATGGAATTTTAATGAACCTGCTACTGCCAATCCTTTTATGCCTGATTATTATGCTTAATCTTTTAATTAGCATGTAAAATACTTCTTTAGAAGTGCTGGTTAGATGAAACATACATAGAAATATATAACGATTGGTATCCTGCTCTTTATTCTACTGGGAGCCTTGGCTATATTTCTTTAGCTTCCAAAATAAGGTCAAACCTATATTCATTCTGTAGTATTTCTATATAGAATGTAAAAACTTTACTTCATAAAATTATTCACACATGAAAAAGCAGTTGCCCCAAAGCATAACTAGTGAGACCTCTATTCTGTTTTTTAAATATACTGAGCTGTTTATTTTAGATATATTATGAAAATACACAAAATATGTAGAAATGTGCAATAATAAGATTGAAGAGCCTGCTGAAAAACAAAGCAAAAAACGGAATCTTTTAATATACCTTTTACATACTTTTTTATTGAAAAAAATGCAACAAGAGTATTTGTGGCTTGATCTTTTGAATGTCTTGCCTTATAAATACTTTGCATCCAAATAGAAAACTGCTTTCAAGTTTAAAGAGTGTATTTATATCATTGATTTATCTAATTTATACACTATTTTCCCCTATTAGATCTCAAACAGCTCAAGTGGGAGGCAGAACGCGACAAGTGGATTCACAATAGAGACGTGAAAAGTATCATCAGGCAGAAAAAGAAGTTCAGGCAGAAACCACTGAAAAACAAACAAAAATTCAAGCGAAAAAAATAAATGTACATTCTTTTGATATTAAATACTACCAAATTGCTTCTACTTACTTTTAGGGTTTTTTTGTAAGCCATTTCTCTTCATCCATCTCTTTGAGTCCATAAATACCAGCCCACTCATTACTCTTGTAATAAACTGTGAAAATAAGAAAATGCCTTAAACTTGGTTGAATTAAGAGGGAATTTTGAAGATATGATTTTGAGTATATTTTAATTTTAATAGTCAGAGGGAAGTCCTGCAGAATGTCATCTGTACAAATAGCTATATTTAAAAAATTGTTTGGCTTGTTTCATGGACAGAAAGAATTAAACTTGATAATTTTTAACCAAACATACCTTCCAGAACAGATGGAAACCTTCGCTTCATTTTATGTCTGAAATCTGGGGCAAAAGGAATTTCTATTAGTTACAAAGTACAAAGCACACTTTAATGCAGCAGTTGCACAGCATATACTTTTTTTATATTATCCTAATCTTTCACTAAAAGAAATATTTCACTAAATATGAAATGGTAATTTGTAAAAGAAATATTTCACTAAATATGAAATGGTAGTTTGTAAAAGAAACAGCAAAATGTCTCTTTATATTTTAAAAAACTTTTAAGGAAGTTAATATCCAAAGAATTCTTGGGAAACTCAGCTATTGTGAAAAAAGACAAAAAAATCATATTTCATTAATTTAATAAAATGGAAAGAGTAAGAATAAAGGCCTGATACAGTGAGATTCTCAAAGATCTGCACTAGGATTAGCAATATTTAATGCATTCATAAAGGAGTGTAAAGACTAGCAATGAATAAGTTTGTTGACACAATTCATCTGATTAAAACAAAACGGGATAATTAAGACATTTAAAATCTCCTGGAACAATGAGCATTAAAATACAGTTAATGTAGTCTAAGCAAGTGTAGAGTTATAGACATTTAGAAAAAAAAATCACAAATATTCTAGAAAGACCTAAACTGATGCGGACTATCCTTTAGAGCAAGGGTCTCCCATCCCTGGGTTGTGGCCCACTACTGAGCTGTGAGCTATTTGGAGCCGGGCCATGGAAGAGGGCAAGTGCATGCACAGATCCCCACTTGCGCAAGCAGCAAGCGATTGCGTCTGCTTCATTTGCATGAGAGATGGGTGCATTTGCCAGCCACTCTCACAGAACCATCCCCTCTCCCTCACCCCTCGGGCTGGTTTGCAAAGCTGGAATGGATAGGGAATTCTGCTTTAGAGGATTTTAGAAATAGCAATTGATAGTTTGACAAAAGCATCTCCTTATGAATAAAAGAAAAAGGAACAGAGGAAACGTAACATAAAAATAAGCAATCTCTTAATACAAATCTGTATTTTGATAATATCTGAAATGTGAGTATAGCTCTGGTCAGCACACTTCAAAGATAATAATATGCTGGGAAAGGTGGAAGAAAAGAGAAGAAGAGGATAACTAGCAGACTCAAGTTACAGTAGCAACGAGTGCCATTCAGAGATGTGAAAGAAAAGGTTATAAAATCTTCAGAGAGCATATCTATACAGTAGGAATTGAAAATGCCTTGACTGCACATAAGCAAATGTAATGATTTCTGAAGGTGCAGAAAATGTGGACCAGTTTCTGTTCTATAAGGATTAGGATTCTTATGAACTAGTCAAATTATTTAATAAGTAAGGATGTGTAGAAAAGATATTTTCCTATTGTGGATCTAGCACGAATACACTTGCTGTATTGATTGCCATAACCTTCAAGAAGCCACACCTTTTCCTGGTTTTGCTGAATAACACCAGGGAAACTCGGAAAAAAAAACACTACATGGCTTCCTTATGGTGTGACAGTAGGTGTACCCACACTACATCCAAAATACTTTTCTCATTTCATATGATTGCCCACATCAATGAAGTTACTTGACATAAAAGTTGTATCGGATTCTTACCTTCACTTGAATTCATTTTGTAATACAAAGTATATGCGCCCAGAACTCCAATAATTTCCAAAATTAGAATTCTTTTGAAGAACCTGACAGAAGATTGGGGATTCATTGTTCAGCCAATCCCAAATCCTAGTGAATAGAAATGAATAAAAGTCAGCGATGACATTTTAGTAGTGACTTTAAATTTAAAGAAGAAGAAACAAAACTACACGAAGCTGAAAGGGACAGAACTAAAGATATATGCTTTTTCAGATACATTTCTCAGAGTTTCTCAGAGTTTGTTAACTGATCTCAGTTTGTTAAATCACTGCTGAAGTACTGGATATTCCAATGATTTTCATTTTGAATCAAATATAGTTTACATCCAACATTCACTCAACATGCACAACATTCACTTAAGAACGTGTGATATGTCTTTGTTAATACATTATGTGTAAACATCTAAGAAAGGTTCAAGATGTGAATGTATTCATAGTTTTCATGGATGTGAGTATTGAAGCTGAGGATCTGAATGGAAATGAGAGTTGGATGCAGTGGAAATGGGTAATTAGGGGCAATAAAAGGCAATGGATGATGAAAAGGTGAATATTAAAATGAGTGATAAACGCAATAGTAATACATTTATTTGTAATACATTAAATACATCCATTTGACTGATAAAATCACAAAATATGTATAAAGGATAAGCAAATGGGCTAAGAAAATAACAAAACTGGATGCATGGAAGTGAGTTCCTAAGAGAATGGTGAATAGTTTAAAGCAGCAGTCCCCACCATGTTGCAGCTTAGTGGCCCACAAGGAGGGGGAGGAAAGGGAAGCAGGTCATGTGAGCATCGGGCTGGTGCGCACATGTGTGTGCAGCTCAACTTGTCAGTGGTAAGCCAGCATGCATACATACAGCTCAACTCAAGGGAAGCTGCATTCGCATGCATGCCAGCCCACTGCATGCATGAGTTGAAACTATACATGTGCATGCATGCTGGCTTGCCTTGTGTGGCCTGGTTCCGAATAGGCCGTGGTTGGGTACTGGGCCACAGCCCGGGGATTGGGGACTCTGGGTTTAAAAGACAAAATGCAATATAAGAATCAATGTATGCAAAGATTTTCAAGTGAGCGGTGAAATCATTAAGAGGACAAGTGTCAGCTGAATTAATTCTGTGGTTTTAAAATAGCCTTCAGTCTGCAAAATATACTGTTGGGGTAAAATTTTGAAATGAATCTGAACTGACTTGAATCCTAAGAGTAGTGCAATGTAGAATTAATACCATTGGGGAGATCACATTCTTGTCAATGCTCAGTCACATATAATGACTGACTTAGGCATGACTTTTTCATGCTGTTGTGGACAAAAATGAGATGAGGAAGTGCTTGTGTCCTATCTTCAGATTCTGAAGAAACAGCAGGATAATCAATTTTTATTATGGCCATATAGACCAATATCACAAACAAAAGCATTAAAAGCAACAATAATTAAAACATAAAAGACAATATATTATGATTAGTGATGAATTATCAGTTAATAAGTCTGTCTAATTTTGCATATGGTATAACAATATATGGCCATATTCAGAGAAACTGCTTCATGCTGACCTGAACAGGAGTTGTACATAAAAGAGACCAGTATTTGCCGATATTTTATTATGTGAGGTGCACAATATAGGACATGAGCTGTAGTTTCAATAGTCCCTTGTCCACAGGGACACAATATCAACTCATAGTATTTTTTTGTATCGGCCCTCCAAACTGCTATGGGAACTTCATTGCAGCACACTAAGGTTAATGCCCTTCAGATTTTTGGGATGATGGGATGATGATAAAAGTATCTCGCTGCTTTAAAAGGGGGAACTAGATTACTAAAAAACAAAAAGATTTTTTTTGAGGGGGGAAGAGCAGTCTGATCTTGTTGGATTTCCTGATCTTCATATGTAATTTGAGTGCACTAAGTGCACACTTATAACCCAAGGCAGGATATAAATCTATTAAACATTAAAAGTACAAATATAAATGCTAACATTCTTCATCGAAATTTGCTTTAAAAGAGTTGCCAAGGCCTTTGCTGATGATTACTTCCATTTTATTATACTGACAGTGGGATGAAATCATATATGTCTGCTGTGGTAACAGGTATTTGAATTGATCAGTAGGCTGGGTGGGGAATTCTGGGATCTGAAATTCACACATCTTAAAGCTGCCAAGTTTGAAAAACACTGGGTTAGTCCATCCGTAACACATTTGGTGTTACGGGGAATTGCCATTTGCTTCCCCCCAAATCAGCCCTTCCTCCTGACTCAGAGGCAGATAAACTCCTAGCTTCAGATCAAACTCGGACTTTCTTATGGGTACCGTCAATGTAGAACTGCTAAATTTCCGCGCCAAAAAAAACCATGCTGCGGGGGCATTGCTCTACTTCTCCCTTGGGACAAAACATGCAAGCAGCAATTACCACTGAGAGCACCCAAACACTCACAATCCAAACGTCCTCTACGTAAGCTTCCGATCATGCCTCCAGATACCTCTTTCCGTCTTATTTCCGAGGGAGGAGCTAAGCCTGCGCGCGCAGGCGTAACATGGTTTGTGTTTTTTTTCCCCGCGTCTGGGCGGAGGTTAGCTGCTACTTTCCATTTTGTGCCTATGCAAAGGTGGCCTCTTCGAGGTTACGCAATTTACTTGAATCCCGCAAATAACGCCTTTTTTTAAAAAAGCAATAAACCAGCAGAATACTCCCTCTGTCGGCGTGTTTCGGAATGCACCTCGCAGTACAGTACAAAGAAGTATGTTCAGTTCAAAGGAAAAATTAAACTACCTGCTGCAGGTGCAGCTCTGCATGCTGCAGCACTTGTAAAACATAATACGGCAAATGGCTCACTACATAGAGTTAACGTGGTGGAAACTGAAGATAATCTTATTGTACTTTGCCCAATACTGTAAACATTAGGATGGCTACATAGAAAGGTGTTTTGTACCTATAATGTGGGAGCATCTGGTATGATTACCATCATAATCAGTTCCTGATTATGGTATAAAACATTAAATTGTAACATTCTTGGCTGCCAAGGATGAATCTATTTCTGATTATATTGTGTTTGTAACTGTGATTAGCCACCCAGAGTCACTACAATAAAACAGGTGGCCATATACATTGAAATAAATTTGATGTTGATTGGAGATGCTTATTAAGCAATCTCTCTCCCTCCCACTCCTTCCCTCCCTCTCTCTGTGTTTAATCTATTGTACTTTGTTGACCCAGCCAAGTCAAAGTTTCTTGGTTTAAATGGGGATTGCCTGCAAAAATGTAAACAATATTTAAACAGGAGGACTTGATAGTTTTTTTCTCCTGGAGAATAGAAAGGGAGGAGCAAAAAACGGTAACCCAAGCTGGCTGGCTTTCTTATATAAGGCAAAAAACAACAGGATAAGTATCATGCTGTTTGTCCACCTCTCAAAATACCTTTAAAAGCTTTTGGTGCCTTAACAACAGGATAGTTAGCTTGGTACAGAGAAAGCAACCATGACAGAGAAAAAATTTGTAGATGAAATAGAGAAAGCGCTGGAAAAATCTAAAGGCCTTAAACTTCAGGAACTTCTCTTTTCCTACAAGGGAACTCCCTACCCGAGCACAGTGTGCAGTGCAGAGACGTTCCAAGCCCTGGAGAATTTTGAAAGCAGAAAAGATGATGCGGTATTGGTGTCTTACCCCAAATGTGGTGAATAGAACTCTTTTGTTATTTTGTTGCCAAATGAGATCATAAGCAACTATTAAAAATAACACTTTTTTAATATTGTGTTTCTGAAGGTGTTACATAATATTTATCATTACCCTTGAGATGGTTTATACGGAAATAGCACCACTAATAAAAGTTTCTAATAAAACTTTTTGTACCAGAATTAGTTTACAATTATTAGTTGGTGTTAAATTCTGTATTATGTGTAAGTAAACTATATAAGCTAAACACAAAGGAAAGAACAGAATGGTAAATAAAATGATTGGAATGATTGGAATATGTCAATTAGCATTTCATTAGCTTATTTGAAGAGGTTTTTAAAACTTAAAAGTATTTTTATAACAATGAAAAATTGTCATGTGCCATTAATTGATGATTTTAGTGCAAATTTATACTTTAGTTATTTAAAATGCTTTATATTATTTTAAGATACATTTCTTTATGGTTCAAGCATCATGCTAAATGTGTTTTTTTTAAAATTGCCTTAGTATAGTGTGTGAATGTGGTTTATTCAACAGAGTAGGGGGCAGTTATGACTAAACCTCAGTAATGCCTGATTCAAAGATTTCAGCTAAATCATGACTTTATAATTAGGCTTAAAACTTAGTTGCATTCATTTGAAGTTTTTTTTCAATCCTAACTTTATTATTTTGATAAACAACTCAATGCGATGAACATATCCCATACTCCTTCCTCCTTCTATTTTACCCACAATCATAACCCATGAGATGAATTGGACTGAGAGAGAATGACTGGCCTAAAGTCACCCAGCTGGCTTTCATGCCTAAAATGGGACTAGAACTCAGTCTTCTGGTTTCTGTCTTGGTGCCTTAACTGCTGGACCAAACTGGCTATATCTATTTCCTCATGTGTACTCTGCTATGCTGTCTATGATGGTGAACAAACACCCCAACTTGGCTTCGAAACAAAAATGGAAACCCCATCTTGAAGTAAAAATTCCTTTCTGATTTTGAGGTATAAACAAAGATGTTTATTTAATTACATGTGAGGGAATATATCAAAACATAGAAGAATGCTTTTATAAACTGAAGCAACTATATAGCTTATAATTTAGCAATCTGATAAAGATACAGCTTTAAAATATTGTACAACTAATATTACTTGTACGCTAATTGAAACCAATGGATAGTTTCCATCTCATCATATCTGGTTGCCAATTATTTTGCATTAAGTTGAGATAATGAAACCTTGCCATGTTCAACAAAAATAACACCTTCCTTAGATTTTATTATGATTTTTCCTGTTTTTTCTTTCCCCAGGAGCAAATTGGTTGATTCTCATAGTGAATGATCTGATTGCCACAACGTTGAAAATTAAGCAGGAGAACACAGAATTGCCATTTATAGAGTGTGGAGATCCAGGAAAGTTTCAGGTTAATTAGTAACAAAACTTGGCTTTTTAAAATGGGATATTTCATTTGCACCTGTGTGGTAGTTGTTGCAATGAAATAGGCAATAGAGAAAGTTCTCTTGTCTGGAAAATGCCTCTAGTCTTCCAACAATATCCTCTAGTCATCAGATGTCTTCTAGTCACGACAGGAATGGGTTGTGATTTTATTGCTTGTCTGGAATGTAAAGATAGATGATATGAAACCTTTGGCATATCTCAATACTGTACTATTTGGTGTCATAAATGTGCAAATGGGATTTACAGAATTAAAGTTATTCTAACTGCCTTTTGATATAGATGATGAATTACTTTTATATATAAGTAGAGCCAATCTGTACATACACGAGTGGCCCATTTTATATGTCCCCCCTCCTTTCCTTGTTTTTGTTTGTAAAGAGGATGAAACAGTTTCCTTCTCCAAGGATTGTGGCCACACATCTCCATTACAGCTATCTGCCGAAATCTATTTTCGAAAATAAAGCCAAGGTAGGCATTATGTTTCACTGATAACATTTAGCTCTGCAGTTTCTTAGATAAGCAATTCATGGGAGTGTTGTGGACCTACTGTAATGTTTATAAGAATGATATAATGCATGAAATTAGGCAGCTATGTACTGTATCTTTCAGGTTACAAACAATCATCTAGCATGACAAAGCGTTGAGAAAACTGTAGTCCAGAACATTTGGAAGGAAAGTATCTGATGTAGCCTAGCAGATATTTCATAACACTAGGTATTGCAATAGTTTAGCTACTAAACTATAAATACATATTAGGAGCATGGGATATGAAGTGTCTAGTAACTCTACATAATGTAAATTAATTAGAAAAGAAGTTCCCTTGACCACAACAGGTCAGTGGATAGTGGCAGCTGTGTGAAAGATGGCATTCTATGCAGCTCAAATCTGAAGGTCCACAAAATGGCAGTGAGAAAAGAGAGAACTGGGAAAAAAAAAAAGAGAACTGAAAACTAATTCCCTGCTGCCATTTGGTGATTGATTGGATTTTGGCAGTCCAGATCTAGTAGCCTTTCTAAAGATACGACAAGAGGATTTGGAGTATAGGTGACAGCTTTCTGAAGGATCTCATTAAACAATTAATGGGTATAATTTCAACCTCTAATTTCCTTTTAAGTATAGTTTAGGTAGTGCTAATCATCAGCATCAACAGGGACTTTTGCCAGTAATATGGTACTTTCATTCATGTCACTGGAAATTTAAAATGTCTGTTCTTTTTTCTTACCTTAGATATTGGTGTTGTTTCGAAATCCTAAAGATACAGCAACATCGCTTTTTCATTTTCATAATAATGCACCAACCATTCCCAGTTATAATTCATGGAAGGACTTTTTCCCAAAATTCATGAATGGAGAAGGTAGTCTTAATTTCTCAGATTGGCTCAAATATAATAATTTGGGGAGCAGAATGCGAGGCTAAATTGATCAATCTGAGCACCAGGGGAAGAAAAAGAGAGAGAGATGTGCCACTGCTATGATTTCTAATAGGAGTGCTGTCAAACTTGCTTTTCTAGGAAGTAAGACACCCCTGGGAAGAATGTTTGGCTTTAAGAGAAATGAAAATGATATGATCAGAGCTTCATTTTCTGTGGGATATACGAACACATTTCTATTGCCCTAAGCAAAAAGACCCCACAGATTTTTGAAATAGCATTAAAGCCTGCAAAGTTTACTTGCTGGATGTGACTTTGGGATAGACAGCATAGATAGTCAGGATTTTGAAAACTAATTTTTGTCTCTAGCCAAAGCTGAATTGAGAACTCTCACAAGTGCTCTCGACAAGAGCTGGCCCCATTTATTTGGTAGTTCCCAGCAAGACTTTTGTGGTCTTTGTATCTTGAGAGCTTACATAAGTAGAAACAGAAACTTGTTTCCAACCAGCAGAACAAACACCATTAACACATTGCTTGCCAGGAGAAGAGATACTATTACCTTACAACTCCTATTTTCTTTAGAGGATTACAGATCTTTTAGAGATGATATGAAGGTTGATGCCTAGATACAAGAATAAGGAAATGAAAAAGAAATAGGATGTTTAATAAAAGACACTTTGCCACAATACTATATGTTATCCAGAGAGAGTATGAGTGCAATAATATATAAAAAATAACTTGCTGTTATGCTTTCTGCAGACTTTTTTTTTTTTTTTTACAAATAAAGTCATTTTAATATACTGCCTTTATACTATAGTTGCCTGGGGATCCTATTTTGATCAGGCTATTGCTTGGAACAAACATATAGATGATGAAAACGTTCTGATTCTGATATATGAGGAATTAAAACAGGTGGGTATATTTATAATCACGAGCAAAACTTCTCCATGTATATCAGATAAAAAGAGGTTCTCTTATTGGTTTTATAAAACATGGCGTGACCAAAAGGCTGGAATTCAAGCCTCAGTATGGGTCATTTCCTTGTCCTATT